AAAGGAGATGTTCATTTATTTCATAAAATAAGTCTAATTAAATTTATTTTATTTATTTTATAAAATAAGTCTAATTAAATTTATTTTATTTAATAATTTATATATATATATATATTAAATTTATCTGTGAAATTTTAAAAAATTTTAAGATTAGATATATATATTAAAAAAATTTAATTCAACACAATTTTTAACATTTGATATAAAATATAAACTATTAAATAAGTAAATTTTCTTCTAAAATAAATGAATCTTTTTTCGTGTTTATATATGTATAATCATTATCATTAAAAAGAAAAATAAGAAAAAGAAGAAAAACAAAGCAGTTGAGAGTTGAGAAGAACACCCCACCAAAAATGTTGGCGAGTCCCACGTACGTTTTCTCCTTATATTTTGTTTTAGAAAATTTGTTTCAAGCATTTGGATAAAACCAATAACCGAAAAGACTTGTTTTTTACCATTTCATAAGGTTGCTTAGAGTAACGTCTGAGGATTCCAATTTACAAAGCTAAAAGCAGGCCAGTCCAAGATCCCTAATTATCTGCCGTTGGATCACCGCACTGATAACATTTGTTTTTTCTATACTCCACGGTGTAACGTAAGGTAACTCCATCAAGTCATGTATTACCGTTAAGGCAAGCAAAGAAAAGCCAAAAAGTATGCCACCGTCGCTTCTTCTAATTTTCTCTCTCCCCTCATATTTACAAGCTACAGGAACATGTTCCGGGAAGAGCAAACCAAAAAAACAATGCAAGACAACAGAAGAGAAAGACGTACGCCGAAAAATTAGTAAAATACTGGTTACAGGAAAGCCTTCAAAGATACCCAGTTTATTTTCTGTTTCATGTTTTTAAGCTGAATCGGTAAACGATGTAAGGTGAGATTTGGCCAAAAAAAAGAGGGGTGCGAAGAGAAAGGTATATTAATAACATGAGAGTTGAAACGAAGAAATGCATCCATCAACGAGCAATGGCTACGCAGCGATGATGTGACCGCAAGTTAATGCCTAGGGCTACGACGTAGCATACTGTACCTCCGGCCACCTGTTGATGTGACCCACTCTACATTAACCACCAGTTATTAAAACCGTAAAAACAGAATTAGAAACACGAATTTTCAAATTGAAATCGCCCTCTCCGTTTAGGATCCCTGTTAAAATTAATGCAGATTATTATTTGCTACCGATTCAGTTCCTTTGAAATCGCCCTCCCAAACCCAACCACGAGACAGAGGAAACAAACTCACAGCGAACAATGGCTGAAACCCGCGGGTTTCCACGTTACCTACATGTTTGTTCCCTTTCCCTGCCAGAAGAATCTGGTTCAGGTGTTTACTTTTTCTGGCCGGAATCAAAGAACGAATCCGTGAATATTTCCCGTACCTCGTAATCACTAATCTCATCACCGAAAAGTTAAAAGAAAAAAAAAATCAAGCACGGATAAATTAACATTTAGCATATTTCAAATCGAGAATCAAAATATTAGAAATAGAACGAAGATATTATCATTCTATTTCTAATACAAAATGTTATTGATTCCGAAAAACAGTTAACAGTATAACTGTGGAGTGAGAGATCACACTGCCAAAGCCTGCGATGATCGGTTATTGATTTCCTGAATCGAATAAAATTAGATAGAACAAAAAATCAACAAGCGCGTTAAGCGTAGGTATAAAGGTACCTTGAGATGGACAACGCCGGAAGAAGAAGAAGAAGAAGAAGAAGCTTTGCGGTGCTTCCGTCGCGTGACGGTGGTGGCGCTGTTCTTACGTGCGAGGCGGCTGGTGGAAACCTCTCCGATGAGGCGAACGTCGTCGGAAGGAGTGAGGAGGATGAGATTCTCCGGACAGCGGATCTTGGCGTACGAGAGGACGCCGTTCCGCAGGAGGAACCACCTGGATCTCCAGCCTTTGCCGTAATTGGTCCACTTGTAGAGAACGCCGGCGACGGTGGTCTCCGATCCCTGAGCGGCATTGCCGTAGGAGGCCGCCACCGGGAGGCTCCTGGTTGGGGAAATCGCGGCCGGCGCCGCCTCGCGCTCCGGCGAATGGTTGCCGATTCCGGGACTCTCGAGGGAGATACAGCACAGTGGGTGCATCTCTTTCACTCGCATTTTCTCTCCCTGAAAAAACGCTTGCTCCTTTTTATTTTATTTTAATGGGAAGGTTTTATTAAATCTGAATAATTTTCTTCACTGATTCGGTGTTCTCCAACTGAGTGAGGTTGAAGGAGTGAAGGTGAGACGGAGAATTAAAAGGACGTGGAAGATGGTTGCGTCATAGATACATCAAGTGCAAAAATAAAAAAGCGTGCATACGGAAATAGCTTACAAAATTATTAAACAAGAAATTATATTACTATATGCAAATGAATAAATTAACGTGTTGGTAGAGGAGATAGCCGGCGAGTATATATAAGTTCGATTGGCCAAAGGCGACGATAAAGGGGCACAGCGGTAATAAGAGCAAAATACAAGGGTTTATAATTGGAAAGATAGACTGTCGTTAGTGTTTACTTGTTTTTTCCTATCATTTTGGCCTCTTTCTATACAGAAAAAATAAAATATTCATTGGGCTGAGATTATTTTATAATTTATATTCCACGGGATATATTGAGTTGAGAAAAATGTGAAAAAGTTTAGTAAATTTTAATGAATTTTTAAAAAAAAATTATAAGATTTTAAAATATTTTATGAATTTTATAGAAAAATATAAATTTATAATATTATAAAATTTAATTAAAAAATATAATATAAACAATAAAAAAAAGTAAAATTAACACAACTTTTTTATCTTTTGATAAATAATTGTCTCTATCTTTTGATAAATAATTGATTTTTATATCATTATGACTAACATTTTTTTTACATATCTAAAGTTATACTAGTCTTTCATGTATTGATAGATTCTATTTCATGCACTTAAGTTTGAACCATATGTTTAAAATTTTGATTTTCTTTAATTGTTAACAATAAAGATAAAGATTTATCTACTAATTCAATTGAAAACTCATCAAAATGACATTCTTTGTGAAAGAAGTTATGTAGTATTACTTGTTAATATAAGTTTAACTTATGTCATAAATAGAGATCCTAACTTAAAAATTGTGAAGAGTAATTTAAAAATACTAAATATTCTTTTAATTATATTTCTTAAGGATACATGACATAAATTGAAAACTTTATTTTCATTCTAAGGGTCATTACTATACTTGTAGAGTCTTATTAATATACGTTTCAAAAATTATTTTAAATATTTAATAATAAAAATATTAATAAAGTATACAATAATTGATAGCTTTAAAAAAACACAGGAGAAGAAAAATAAAAGATACATGAGAGAGATGAATAAAAAGAGACAATGAAGAAAGAGGGAGAGAAAGAGAAATAATAAAGGTGAAAGAGGAGAGAAAAAAAAAAGAGAGATAAATGAGAGATGAATAAAAACTAAAGAAAAATGAAACTAGAGAAAAAAAGAAGAAACAAAAACATAAATAGCAAGAGAGAATCAAGAAAGGCAATGGAAAAGATTTAAGAGACAGAAAGAAACAATAGAAATAGAAAAGAAAAAAAGTCATGCCAAATCTCAAAAGTTTTGATGTAATTATTTGATGAGTTAATTACATATAAATTATACTAAAAAATTTCACAAAATCTAATATTTAAATTCATTAAAATTTCTATATTTTTAATATCAATATATTTTTTTAATAAAAAATAATTAAATATCATAAGATTTTGACAAATTCCTTAAAAAAATATTGATTGTCTTAAATAAATACTACAAAATTTTGACATACTCTTAGAAAAATGTCTTGATTAGATAACACGTGACTTTTTTGTATTAAAAAAAGTTTTGATTGAATCCTAATCCTAATACACCCTTATATTAAATTTCAAATATTTGATTACTTATACATGTGGGAGAGATCTAACTATTTCAAAAATAAATCTATTAAGAATTAATTCACTTAATAACTTGTGATCTACAATATGTTTTCAATAATTCAATGATTGAATTAAAAAATTTTAATAAATAAATTAAATATACAATATAATATTTGAAAATTATATAATACTTTATTTTAAAATTCAAATTAACATATCATATAAACTTATTAATATAAGTTAATTTATATTTAATATAAAAATGTCAAATAGTCTACCATTTTTTTAAAAAAATTAAAAACTATTTAATATTATATTTCATTAATTTAAATCAACATATAAAATATTTTCATAATTATGTGTCAATTTAAATTAAAAAAATAAAATAATAAATAATTTTTAAATTTTTTAAAATTTATAAATTTGATCTATAATAATTAGATTGTCAAAATTTGATATTAAATATAAATTATTAAATAAAATAAGTATAAATAAATATACTCTTAAAATAAATTAATTAT